TTAAATGTAAGGAACCAAGGTAATAGAATCCATCAGAGAGAGTAATGAAAAACTATATAAGTATGAGATGAGCGAGTTTGCTATCCCACAAAGCAGAATTAGTAGAGAGATGTCGCACCCCATCACTGGGAGATGTCCTAAAATATAATTTGTTATTGCGAAGAGACCACGGGTTGAAGCGAAGAAGCGATTAAGATGATCGTTACCAGTATTTTGCGTTTCATTTGTTACTACAATATATTAGCCAGATATGTGCTGAAAAGATTTATCTTCTATTAGAGGTTGTAAATCCTAAAGGGAAAGGAGTTTAGTATTTAATGCTGGTATCCTGATTCTATCTGACTATAAATACATTATTTGAACAAGCGATGCATAGCCCTGTAATGACAAAGAGATACCATCTTTCATTAACACTATGTACAATCAAGCGTTCTCTCTTATGAGCACCTCGAAATGAGCGCGGCCAACTCCCTATTCTTTAATCCTAATCACTTATATTAGTTCGAATAGAAAAACGCTACAACACCGTTTATCATTATAGGATACTCTTACCAAGAAGTCTCCAGGATAGGAAATTGGAGCGTAATTCGTTATTGAGGTAGCCATTATTCTTCTACAAAATTCAAGGGCTTATATTTGTTTTCTGCTAATCAGGTACGCTTAAAATAAAGGAAGATATTTGAAATGTCCATGAAGCATGAAAACATTCCCCATGATGCATGAACACCTCTATGTTTATATTTTCCTTAATATAGATATATATATATATATATACATATATATTGTGTATTTCATATATTTGTTTCATGCATTACGCAATTATATTTACTATGTGTTCTTTTTATTTTTTTGTCAGTCAAAGCATATAAATAAATTAGAAGCAATTCAGGGTTTTTCAAACCCTAGGGATGTCCCAAAAAAAAAAACATTGGGCACTGTACGGCACTACCGCCGCATCATCCACCGTGGCACCATCGGACCACCACTGGCATGAAGCCTTGAGTTGACCACACGGTAGAAGTCTTTGGGCTTGTTGCGCTGACCCAAATAACCTAGGCTTTGGCCTGATTAGCTCTATTGGGCCTGAAGTCCCTTAGGCCCAACCAAGAAAGACTGCAGCCTTCTTAGCCCGTTGTCCCATGGTTCAAAACCTACCTGAAGCAGTTTGTAGCCCATTGGGCTATGTCACACGCCCTGGCCCGATTCTCACAGCTTTGTCTACTGGGTTGAAGTCTGCCCCAACCCAGACCCGGCTTCGGCTAGGCTACCCATGCGAACCTAAGGCCAAAAATATGTTGGGCCTGACTCGTGCCCCCCATTCGGCCCAAAGCCAGCAGTTGCTGCTGCTAGGCTGCCTTTTGCAGCCAACCCGAGCCCAAATCATTTTTGAGATATTTTTTTTCCGACCAAATGCTATTATTTAGCACCCGAATGTTATTATTATTTTTGCTTCTACAATCGACACTGTATGGCCCGATTTATTGAATTAATTAAAAGTGACCTGCAGTTTATTAATTTGATAATTAACCCAAAATTATTGACCTGGATCACTTATGGACATTAACGATTCAATAATTTATTTTTATACTTTGAACCGTTGACATACTTTCATAGTAATGATGTAACATCCCACATCGCCCAGGGGAGTGATCCTTATATGTATATTCTCATCCCTACCTAGCACGAGGTCTTTTGGGAGCTCACTGGCTTCGAATTCTGTAGGAACTCCGAAGTTAAGCGAGAAGGAGGCCAGAACACTCCCACGATGGGTGATCCACTGGGAAGTTGCTTGTGAGTTCCCAAAAACAAAACCGTGAGGGAATGGTAAGCCCAAAACGGACAATATCGTGCTACGGTGGTAGAGCGGGCCCGGGAAGTGGTCCGCCCCGGGCCAGGATGTGACAAATGAAGCTCTCACACTTGAGTTCCGAAGAAACTCAAATCCACTACACTTAAATCAGCATATTGCATTCTGTGTTTCTTGTATGAACCTCTCCTTATGAACTAATCGTTCATAAAAACTAATTTGAACAAGTAGTTTCAAAATTAGTGCCTTTGAAACCTGAAGTTTTAATTCAAAACATACCACATGAAACCTGTAGTTTTCATGCATAAATTAAAAGAATACATGTCTATAGAACTCGTATGTTCTATGATATATGTCTATGGCTTACCATATAACTAATCACGTTTTTTGTACCCTCTGTTATAGGGACACGTCGAACTTGAACAAATTCGATTTCACTGCTCTAGAAGTCTCAAGAAGAAACTATCTGAAGTGGGTTCAAGAAGTGAAGCTTTATCTCACTGGAAAAGGAATTAGAGCCACCATCGAGGAACCAAATGACGCTAAACCTGTCGATGAAGCTCAGAAAGCTACTGCAATGATCTTTATTCGAAGACACATCCATGATGTACTGTAGACTAACTACCTCGATGAGGAGGATCTACGCACCCTCTGGCTTACTCTGGCCGACCGTTTTGATCACCAAAAAGACATCTACTTGCCTAAAGCAAGACATGACTAGCAGCATCTTCGCTTCCAGGACTTTAAGTCTGTGAATGAGTACAACTTTGATGTTTGTAGAATCTGTTCACTACTAAAATTCTGTAAAATAGAACTAACTGAATCAGATCTCTTGGAGATTACCTATTCGACTTTCCACGCCACCAATATTGTCCTACAGGAACATTATAGGGCACAAAAATTCACAAAGTTTTCAGATTTGATCTTTGTTTACTTCTAGCTGAGAAGCAAAACCAGCTTTTGATGAAAAATCATCAAGCTCGACCGACTGGCTCGAATGCCGCGTCTGAAGTGCATGCGACCAATTCTAACAGTCATAAACGACGAAAGAACCATCGTGGCTTGGCAATGGGCAGTAAGTTCAACCACGGGCCCAAGGTTAATAGAGTGCCACTCCTAAGGGAGAAAATGTGACCCAACAGCGTCCACCACTTGCCCCTAAGGCCCCAAACTTTAATAACAAGGGAAAGCTCTTGTTTAACCTGTTTCCACTGAAATGGACATGTGTTACCGCTGTGGGTCAAATGATCATTGGTCACGTGTATGCCGAGCTTCCCCCGAAGCTATTGCTAAGTGTCATTCTCGTCGTGAGTCTAACTTTGCATATGTGGAAGATTCGGAATATGTGACTACATCAATGGAGATATCGAATTTTCAGAAGGCATCAACTCCTATGGATGAATAAATTAGACATGTTTTTAGGGTGTTTACCCCTAGTGGCCGAACCCACTAGGAGTGGCTACCCCCTCTCCCCTATTTTTCTAGGTTTATGGTTTAATTTTGAACAATTTTTCTAAGTCTTTGGAATAATTTGTTTGGTTTTGGTTTGTTTTGAATTATGGATTGTTATTTGATGGATATTATTTTCTCGAATTGCGTAAATTGAATGAATGGAATTATATTTATGCATGTGACCAATTCAATCAATTTATTTCTAGGTATGTCTAGTGGGGAAGTTAGTTGTCCGGCAGATAGTTCAACCACGCACACCATCTTGTATGACCGACACTATTTTACTAACTTAACACCTCATAAAGCTCTCTGATAACTCTCTCAGGCCTATCCAACATGATTGAAGGATACGGAAAGACCTATATCATATTGTCCAATGGTACTATCTTAACCATTAAGGAAACACTTTATTCTCCATGTTCCAGAAGAACATTGCTAAATTTTAGAGATATTTGAGGTAATCAATATCATATTGAAACCACTGAAGATAATGGTTTTGAATTTCTTTGTATCACTTCGTATGAATATGGACAGAGTGTATTCACGAAAAGTTGGAACGTCTGCCGAGTGGGTTGTACATCATAACCATTCGCGGCATAGAAGCCCACAGTATGGTCGGCCCTATGCTTGGGTTCCAAAGCACTCTTATGCTTTGGCATGACCGTTTGAGACATTCTGGACGTGATATGATGCACTGTATCCTCATATCATCACATGGGTCGGTTACCTCTCTACCTTGGATTCTTGCCATGCTAAGCATGTTCTTTAGAGAAGTTGAATATTGAACCCTCACATACAAAGATTATTCATTACCCCCCTAAGTTTCTTCAGAGGATTCAATGGGACATTTATGGACCTATCCAACTAACATGCGGACCATTTAGATATTTTATGGTATTGGTTGATGCATCAACACGATGATCACATGCTTGCATGTTGTCCACATGCAATGCTGCGCTTGTTAAACTCATAACACAAATTATTAAGCTAAAGGCTCACCACCTTTATTATCCGATTAAGTCGATTCGACTGGATAACGCTAGAAAGTTTACGTCACAGACTTTTGACGATTATTACATGTCAGTAAAGATTGATGTGGAATATCATGTACCCCATGTTCACACCCAAAACGGCATGACAGAAGCTTTCATAAAGCACCTTCAATTGATAGCTCGAACTTTGGTTATGTGAACCAAACTACCAGTATCTGCCTGGGGCTATGCAATATTGCACGCAACCATGCTGGTCGGCCTAAGGCTCACCGCTACTCAACCACATTTATCGTTACAGTTGGTCACTGGATACGAGCATAGCGTCTTGCATTTACTGGTGTTTGGGTGCACAATTTATTTGCCAATAGCGCCACCACTACGTACCAAAATGGGTCATCAGAGAAAAATGGGAATCTATGTCGGTTATGATTCGCCATCAATTGTTCGTTATTTGGAACCCTTGATAGAAGATTTCTTTACCGCATGTTTTGTGGATTGTCACTTTGATGAGACAATCTTCTTATTGTTAGGGGGATATAAGCATGCTAACATTCCCGTAGAACACCACGAATTGTCGTGGTATGCTCTCATTATATCTCATTTAGATCCCTGCACTACCCAGTTTGAAACTGAAGTGCAACCAATTATAGATCTTCAGAGCATTGCTCAAAGCATGTCAGATGCTTTTAATGATCTAACAAAGGTGACAAGATCACATATACTTATTACAAACGCACCTGCAATGATAGATGTACCTTGCGTACGTCAACAACCCATATGGGAATACCGAACCGTCCCCGAAGGTGGGGAAGCCACACCTTCCACGCGGCAAGGTACATTGGTGGCTAGCTAATCATTTTCTCCAACCCTGAAGCGTGGCAGACCCTTTGGTTCAAAAGATTCACAACCCCAGAAGAGGAAAATGGCACCAACTAGTGACCCTAGTTTGAATTCGACTATCGCTCACTCATTCATTCAAATGCATGAGGTTATTCTAGATTACGGTAATACTTCATATGAAACATGTCAGCCTCCCAAGAATTGTGAGATTTCGGTCTACTACGCAGTATTGGACGATGTTTGGAATTGGAATAAGATGATTGTTGACGATGCCTTTGCGTACTCAGTATCTACTAACATCACGTTTAGCGATGACATTGAACCACGTTCCGTCGATGAATGTTGAAGTAGAAATAACTGGTCAAACTGGAAACAAGCAATCCAGGTCGAACTCGATTCACTTAGAAACGTAAGGTGTTTGGGCTCGTAGCTCCTACTCATCCATATATGAAGCCTGTTGGTTACAAGTGGGTTTTTGTGAGGAAACATAATGAGAATAATGAAATAGTGCGATACAAAGCACGCCTTATAACATAAGGCTTCACTCAGCGCCCTGTGATTGATTACAAGGAGACGTATTTCCCTGTAATGGACGTTATAACATTCTGCTACCTAATCAATTTGGGAGTTATCGAAAAAACTGAATATGCAGCTTATGGACGTGGAAATCGTGTATCTCTATGGGGATCTAGATATGGCGATATATATGAAAGTTCCAGAAGGACTTTAATTGACTGGTTCAAATGGTTTTAGACCACAGAACACTTTCTTGATGAGGTTGAGGAGGTCACTCTACGGATTGAAACAATCCGGACGGATGTGGTATAACCATCTGAGTGAATCTTTGACAAGTCAGGGTTATGTGAACAACAAATTATGTCCATGCATGTTCATAAAGAAGTCACATTCCAGATTTGCAATCGTTACAGTTTATGTCAACGACATGAACCTCATCGGAACTCCCACAGAGCTTGAGGAAACTGCTACGCACTTGAAATTAGAATTTGAGATGAAAAATCTTGGGAAAATTTGATATTGCCTCGGCCTGGAGACCGAGCATTGGTCGGATGAAATCCTAGTACATCAATTGAACTACACCTAGAAGGTTTTACATCATTTTAATGAGGCTAAATCGAAGCATTCGAGTACACCTATGGTCGTTCGAACTCTAGATGCTAAACGAGATCCCTTCCATCCAAAGGAGGATGATGAAGAGATTTTGGAACCCGAAGTTCCTTACCTAAGTGCAATTAGGGCTTTATTGTACTTGGCTCAATGCACTAGACTCGACATTTCCTTCGCTATAAATCTATTAGCTAGATATAGCAATGCGCCTACACGCAAACACTGGAATGATTTTCAAGACATTTTTCTCTACCTTAAGGGTACAACATATTTGGGCTTGTTTTATACTAGCGAATTTTCAAGTGTTGCCGCCCCCTATGGTACTCAAATTGATTCCTACCTTGTTGGTTACGCATATGCTGGATATTTGTCTGACCTACATAGGGCACGTTCTTAAACGGGTTATGTCTTTACCGTTGGAAACACCGCTATATCTTGGAGGTCTACTAAGAAAATGACAGTTGCAACTTCGTCGAATCATGCTGAGATTTTCGCCCTACATGAGGCATTGCGTGAATGCTTTTGGCTGAGAAAAGTCATGGAACACATTCGAAGCACTAGTGATCTTACATCTGTCGTTAACCTTCCTACGACGATCTTTGAAGACAATGCATTATGTATCGAGCAGTAAAGAAGAGATACATCAAGAGAGACAACACTAAGCACATAGCGCTAAAGTTCTTTTACTCACACCAACAACAGCAGCATCAGAACATTGAAGTCAAGCAAATTCGTTCTCAGGACAACCTGGCCGATCTCTTCACCAAGTCATTGCCTAAGTTTAATTTTCAGAAGCTCGTCCAAAGAATCAGTATGCGTAAATTATCTTAGTTGAATCGCTTGTAGTTCTCTTATTTAGAAGTTATGTCTAACTCAGGGGGAGTATCCTAAAGTTACTCACTTGATCTTAATGTACTTTTTTTCCTACGATTAGGAGCATTTTTCCCACTGGGTTTTTGCGACCTAACGAGGTTTTAATGAGGCACCCATCCTGGGATGATCATACTCTGTTGAGTTCACTACTTTCGTCTTGTTTGACGTTTGTTTTAGACATTATGCATACTTCTTACTTTTCTCCTTAGTCTATAGGTTTTCCTAAGCCTGGCAATTCCTGACACGACCCGATAACCCGACACGACACGACACGACACGAAATTAACAGGTGTTCGGGTCGACACGATAACGAAACGGGTCGTTATCGGGTAACCCGATAAACACCTGTTAAGATAACGGGTTTGTTCGGGTATACACGTGGATAACACGATACACGATAAGCAGAATATTAATTTAATAATTTATAACCCTAAAAAAATACTATAATAATTATATATATATATATATATATTAAATTAACTATAATAATTATAATAATTATATATACTATAATAATTATACCCAAAATATTAACTATAATAATTATATATATATATATATATATTAAATTTTATACCCCTAAAAACTATAATAATTATACATACAAAATAAATAGATTTAAATCTACTTAATAAATAAATATATATACACACACACACACCATTGAACTTCATGAGATACAAATTATACGAAACTAATTTCAACGATCCAACCGTCAAACATGTTTGTATATACTTCGAGATCGCATACGCCAAAAATTGCAAAAAACAAACATTCAGAGAGCAAGTAACGGGACAAAACTTTTTTACGGTTATAAACGAAAAATCAAGATTTAACGGTCATTTTAACTCCGATTTTGATGATTTTTTACAACCACTCCTTGACCCTATATGAATACAATGATTGAATTCGATCTTCAATTTAAAATATTTACACTAGTGGATACCACAAAATCTTATGTTATACTTAATAAAAGTATGAATAAACTCTTAAGTATTAGTGAATCTATTGTTTTGATGGGATACGCATTCTACAAAACTAGTTTCAATGATCCAACCATCAAACATGTTTGTATATACTTCGAGATCGCATACGCCAAAAATTGCAAAAAACAAACATTCAGAGATCAAGTAATGGGACAAAAGTTTTCAACGGTTATAAACGAAAAAATCACGATTTTAATGGTCATTTTAACTCCGATTTTGATGATTTTTTTACAACTACACTCCTTGACCCTATATGAATACAAGTAATGAATTCGATCTTCAATTTAAAATATTTACACTAGTGGATACCACAAAATCTTATGTTATACTTAATAAAAGTATGAATAAACTATTAAGTATTAGTGAATCTATTGTTTTGATGGGATACTCATTCTACGAAACTAGTTTCAAAGATCCAACCGTCAAACATGTTTGTATATACTTCGAGATCGCATACGTCAAAAATTATAAAAAACAAACATTCAGAAATCAATTAACGGGACAAAACTTTTCGACGGTTATAAAAAAAAAATCACGATTTAACGGTCATTTTAACTCTGATTTTGATGATTTTTTGCAGCTACACTCCTTGACCTTATATGAATACAATGACTGAATTCGATCTTCAATTTAAAATATTTACACTAGTGGATACCACAAAATCTTATATTATACTTAATAAAAGTATGAATAAACTATTAAGTATTAGTGAATCTATTGTTTTGATGGGATACTCATTCTACGAAACTAGTTTCAATGGTCCAACCGTCCAACATGTTTATATATACTTGGAGATCGCATACGCCAAAAATTGCAAAAAACAAACATTCAGAGATAAAGTAACGGGACAAAACTTTTCGACGGTTATAAACGAAAAATCACGATTTAACGGTCATTTTAACTCCGATTTTGATGATTTTTTACAACTACACTCCTTGACCCTATATGAATACAATGATTGAATTCGATCTTCAATTTAAAATATTTACACTAGTGGAAACCACAAAATCTTATGTTATACTTAATAAAAGTATGAATAAACTCTTAAGTATTAGTGAATCTATTGTTTTGATGGGATACTCATTCTACGAAATTAGTTTCAATGATCCAACCGTCAAACATGTTTGTACATATTTCGAGATCGCATACACCAAAAATTGCAAAAAACAAACATTCAGAGAGCACGTAACGGGACAAAACTTTTTGACGGTTATAAACGAAAAATCACGATTTAACGGTTAATTTAACTCCGATTTTGATGATTTTTTACAACTACACTCCTTGACCTTATATGAATACAATGATTGAATTCGATCTTCAATTTAAAATATTTACACTAATGGATACCACAAAATCTTATGTTTATACTTAATAAAAGTATGGTATAGTACTATTGTTTTATTTTTTTTCATAATTATTTTGGTAAACTTCTCATAATTTGAATGATTTTTAATGTTTGGTTTTTCTATGCTTAGTTTATGCAGAAGATAGTTATGACGTGGAAAACCTTACTGAAAACATCATCAACATAACTCTTGAAGGCAATAGATCAAGCCAAAGTTCTAATGCAATTTCATGATGATCGATGTAAATCGAGGATTTTGTAAATTGAGGTTTAAACTTTTGAGAAAGATTTCACAACCTTGAAAACAAAAACTGTTTCATTTTGCATATCCTTGCACATTTAAAATTTGTAATAGATTAGTAGTGTATGTATTATTTTTTTATTAGGCTCTTATTTTCGAGTGTAGATGTAGTACTTAAACGACAAATGTGTTTTAATGTTTTGAAGTAATATTTATGTGGCAATGTGTGGTATGTGCAAATTTAAGAAAAAAATATATTTTTCTTAACGGGTCATAACGGGTCAGGTCACTTTACCCGTTGGGTAAAGTGACACGACCTGTTAAGGACCCGTTAAGATAACGGGTGTGACACGACACGACCCGTTAAGATAACAGGTGTTACACGAAAACGACACGAACACGACTGACACGACCCGTTTGCCAGGCCTATTTCCCCATACCTTGGGTTTTACCATAGCGGGGTTTTATGAGTTTTACTACCAATGCATACTTTCTTAAAATTTGATACTCGCTTTCACCTGTTGTGTCGATGACTTCATTAACTATTCTACCTTCTCTACTGAAGATCTGATGTGATGGTTTGTTAAGTATTTACACACTCAAAGGGGAGTGTTGCAATTATATTTAGAATAGGAATGTGATTGTGTAAATCCTAGTAGATTTAGGAATGTATCTTATATTTTCTATTAGGAGTTGATTACCTATTAAGAGTTGTAATCCTAAAGGGAAATGTTTTTACCTATCCTACTGCTATAAATAAAGGCACAATGGGGTAA